TTTTCCTCAATGCTGAATCCCCAGGGCTTAGGACATGGCTCTCAACATGAATGAATGAATACATTTAAATTTCTACAGCCTGCAGTGCTATATTCATCTCCCAGGTTTAAAAGAATTGAGCTCAGTGGCATTAATGTATCCAGATACTTACACTAATAAGTGGCCAGTCTTGAATCTGAACAGATTCGACTGGTTCCAAAGCCAGCTTTCTTTCCCTACTCTCATGGAATAGAAAGCATTTGGGAGCTTATACTATTTCTTTATATTTCTGTGCCTAGGATAACTATTTTCCACTGTCATATGCTAGTATATTTATTTTTATGATCGGGTTGAGATAGTGGCTAAGGAGATAGAGGCTAAGATCTAAAGATGTAATTCCTACTCAGGTCATATTTAACTAGCCAGTATTTATAGACAAACAGAAGAAGGGTAGAGCTATGTAACGAGACTTCCAGAATTCTTAGAATCAGAGCTGGGCACAAGAAAGAACAATACAGGCCCACAGATGCAGGGGAACAAAAAATAATTTCCTTTGCTTACAAATATTCACAGTACCTTTATTTGCAATAGACTCTAAGTGGAAACAACCCTAAGATCCACCATCTGTAAAACGATAAATTGTGGAATGTCCATAGTACTCTATTATGGAATACTACTGTGAAATAAAAATAAACATGGATGAGTTTTTTTTAAGTGAGCACACAAACTAACAGGTTTCATTGTGACATTTTCATACATGGATGAATCTTAAACAGTATGTTGAATGAAAGAAACCAGGCACAACACAGAGTAAATATTGTATGATCCCATTTATATAAGGCTCGGGGAAGGCAAATCTAACCAGTAGTGACAGAAAGCAGATCAACAGTTGCTTATTCGGAGCTGGGGAGAACTGACTAGGAGAGGTACGAAGGGTGTTGAAAATATGCTCCATTCTGATCACGGAAGTCAAATGAGTGTGTGCAAATATCAAAACTCATCAAAACGTGTATTTGAGTATGTTTATATAGGTTGTAGTTCAGTAAACAAGGACTACTTGATAAAAATTGACTCAAATCTCAAGGAGTTTCTGGTCCATAGGCTAGTAAAATTAAAATCTAATCTGTATTGGGCTAAAACCTGGTTGTGTGTATCAGAAAGTCCAAGATTGGGTGTAACTCAGTGGTACAGCACATACTTTGCATGTGCCAGACCCTGTATTCAATCCTCAGAATCACCACAAACAAAACAGTGGTTTAAAAGCATAGTATTGGGGCTGGAGAGATGGCTCAATGGTTAAGAGCATGGGCTGCTCTTGTGGAAGACCAGGGCTCAATTCCCAGCACCCACATGGCATCTAAACCATCCAGAGCTCCAGTTCCAGGGGAATCTGACAGCCTGTTCTGACCTCCTCAGGCATTGCACTACATGGTCTATTAGATTGGCAGGCAATACACTCATACACATAAAATAACTAAATTAAAATATTTTTAAAGTTTTAAAAGAAATAAAAATGAAAGCACAGTGGCTTCAGGTGGAGGACAACACTGGGGATTAAACCTCAGGTCCTCATGCACACTGCTTAAGCTCTCTACTATTGAGTTCTAACCTTCCTTTTACTTTTACTTTTAATTTTCTTATTGTATTTGAGACAGGGATCCCACTAATTTCCCCAAGCTAGTCTGTAGCCCAGGCACACCTTGAACTTGCCATTCTCCTGCCTCAGTATCCTGAGTAGCTGGGATTACAGGCCTGTATCCCTGGCCCTGCGATTTCCAAAGTAATACATTAGTAAATGGTAGATTATTAGGAGCCAATCAAAGGTGGTAAGCGCTCTAGAGGTGGGTATCCAGAATCAATACAACAGCTCCACTAACTCATCAGGAGGCC